AAAAAAAAAAAAAAAAAGTGGAATCATGAATTAATATAAAATAATTATAATAAATAAATTTTGACTTTTCCATCAAATTATTTTTTTTTACTTAAACATCTACTAATTATTTATAAGTCAAAACAGGTTTTAGAAAATTCTCTTGAATTTGTCATCAATATGTGAATGGCTTGGTTGGCAGTTGGACCCCAATTTTAAGTTAAAAAATTTAAATGGTTAGGTATAGAGAAATTTGAGAAAAAAATGATTATTTTTTTTTATATAATCAATTATCAATAGTTTATCTTTAATTGAATCCAAATGAAATAAGTTTTAAATTCAGCAAAAATTAGTTTAGAGGCATCTTATTACTAAAAAAAACTTGGAAAACGCTAATTCAGTTGTTGCTGCTAAAAATCAGAAATTGAGTAAAAAAATTCATATATTGGTCCATAAATTGTCTCAAATTGCCATACCTACCTATCTGAACCGTGGAATGGATGGCTAAAAATTTGTACAACACTTCTATACCTTCACACGGTGGAACTAGGAATTAGGAGTATAATTATTTTCTCTGTTCCGCTATAATAGATGTTTTGGAATAAATTTTTATTCCTATTTATTTATCATTTTATGCAAATCCAGATTTTTTTAATTTATCTTTTCACTTTTATCCTCCAATAAAAATTTAATGACTCCAAGTCATATCATTCTAGAAAGAAAGAAAAAAAAAATGAAGAAAAAAACCCTCTACCTTCCTCCGTTTCATATACTCTACTTTTTGGGCTTACAAATTTTGGAAAAGTCTTCAAAATGGCTAAACAAGCAAGCAATACCAGCGGATCTTGGATTTGATCTAAACAAACACGCAATACCCACACGTTTTTGTAGAAGAAAAATTACAGAAGTAAAAATTTCTTGCTGTACTAATTTTAAACAGTTGCTTTTGCAATACAAAGAAAGAGGATAGATTAGAAAATTGGAAACAAAGGATAGAGGTAGAGAATTTTTCATTTTAAGGGGTTCTAGCCTTTGGGTTTTTAGTTCGGCCATTTGGGTAATTTGCCAAAGGTAAAAAATAAAAAAACAAAAACACATATAACTCTATCAAAGTAGGGTAGAACCAAGCTTCGTACCTAGTTTGGTAACTTTGGCGGTATTAGAATGAAAATAAAATGAAATTGAATTGGAACGAACATTGGAATTGTAGATAAGTTTTTCCGGTCAATGAACCCACAAATGAAAGAAATGATGAAAGAGAAAGTGGACCGACGGATGGAAACTTACATTAGAAGAAAAGGGTGAAGAAAAGGGTAAAATGATATTTTTATTTTATTTAACATTAAAATTGAGGATAATTGCACTTGCCTTTAGGGCAAGTGGCCTTTAACCACCTTGAGATGCAGTCTTTACCCTTTGGTTGGATTCGAACCCGTCCCATGATAACATTGTTCAAAAAAAAAATTTGAGGATAATTAATTATTTTCTTAAAATCTGTGCAAGAGCTTAAAATGACAAATAAAGTGTAATAGAGAGAGTAGAAATTAGGAGTAATAAATTTTTTTAAGTTCAAAAGCTATAATAACAAAGTCTGTAATGTTTTTAATAGCCGCATTTGCAAATATTCAACCAGATGTGGATAAAAATTTCAAAGCTTATATGCATCTAATAATCTTCATCATAACTCGAAAATGAATGAAGCATAAGACCGACTGAAACATAAAAGAAAGTTATACCAACCGAACAAAAGAATTATTAAAAGCAATTCTGAAACTGGAATTGGTCTGAGGATAAAGGAAGCAAAAACACTGTTTCCAAGAAAAGAACTACGTTTTATCCTTGTTGTCTATGTTGTAACAGCAAAAATTCCTCTAACAGCTCACGCTGCTCACCAGTTTGAAATTTCCATTTCATATTGCCTGCTGCTTCCTCAAGTCTGGGTTCCTGGAGGCAAATGTGCAGTCAGAAGTGAGAATGTTGTCTACACCACAATTGACGTTTTTTTATAGAGATGCCATGTGGATAATTTGAGTTGTTGGAGGAAACAAAACAGGGGTAAATGGAGGGTTAAGGGCAAAAAAGGAGAAATAAAAGATTGGTTGTACCTCTGTACGTGATCCAGAATGAGGAGTCTTGGTCCAGGAGGGATTTTGGCATCTCTCAGAGCACTGGAATACACCTCATATCAGTACAAAGAATTTCATAACATATATTCTAGATGAAGTTAATTAAAAGCAGAAAAAACTATCTACTTGCCTCTCAGTGAGTAACGGCAATGTGTTGTCTGTCAATATGCCTTTCTTGAAATTCTTCTCATATTTCTGGAGGCCAAGGTTGTATAACATGAATCTGGCTTTTACGTAGTTCATATCCTCAGCTGGAGATGGAGAGAATGTCTGGCCTAACTGAAATTAAAATTGCAGCTAGATGCATGAAGCATAATTTTGAAACAGTTCTCAATCAGAAAACAAGATTATTTACAAAATAGTTTTCCAGGAAAATTATGGATATATGATATATTCTGACGATCATCGGTACCAAATTTCCCCCTTTCCAACGTGTGCATATTCCTTCATGTTTACAGCTTGCAGTGAAGATAAAAACTAGAAACAGGATGAAATGAAAATGAAAATTGAAGCTTTACTGAGCAAATAATAAGATGATAACTTACCTTGAAAATGCAACCCTGAATAAGTGCAAACGAGAGTCCTGATGTTAATAAATTTGTAACAGGATTTGGGCCACCTATCCCACTTGCTAAAGAAAACACAGCTCCAGAACCAAAAGCTGCCACCACACTGCAATGATATTAAAAGTTCTAATCAACTGATTGAAACCAAAACATCAACCAATATATCAGTATCAAAACCAGATAAGTTTTACTTTTTCTTAATTTTTCATACAAAGCATGAATCAAATCTATACTTCCAAATGACTGTACAGACAATTCTGGCCTTTAACATGTTTCTCTATATAAATATATTTATGGGTAGTCTACTATAAGCTGGAGATAAACATAAATTCTATTTGTGCCTTTCATTTTTTTATTGGAGTGGAGGTGCAGATATTAGAAGATCAGCTACCAGCCTATCACACAAAAACACACACACACACACGCACGCACACACAAAGATACATAGCAAATGAGTGAAACTGTGAAAGAAAGTTTGCATGGACTCCATTGACTTAAGAACCTCCAAATCTCTATTTTGATTATCCAATAAAGAGCTACTTCCATGTGCAAGTCAGGAAATGACATTGCATCATCAATCTCTAATGATCAGTCTGAAAGGAGGAAAGAGAAAGAGGGAGTCTAACATGCAGAAACAGCTACCTCAGATTTGAAGACTTATTTTCACTCACAAATGTGTAAAAACTCAAAACAAATGTCACCATCTCTGCAGACTTATACAAACCTACTGATGCAGTCAAGAAACAATCCTTGGAAGAACCTACATCACTTTAACCACTACTACAACCGTAAATCAAAATCAAAGACAAAACAGTGTGGAAGTCATGATTTGACAAAATTCAGAGGGATCTTCCAACCAGCTCTGTCTGTAAAACCAATTTGCCCTACTAGTAGACCTCATGGAGTAAGCGAAAGCAAATCTGAATGACAACTTGTTATATTCAGAAATTAATAATAATAAGGGAGAAAAATATGCTGAGAAATTGTTAAGTTGTTATTCACTAGCTCTGTACAGCTATCTATATCATATGTATACTAAAAAATCAATGTAATCAGGAATGTTGTTAAAGGAATGAAAGTCAATTAAGGAGGTGATGCTGGCTGAATTCTCTTATAAAGGAAAGTGAAAACTTGTAGAAAATAGTTAAAATATAACAAAAGATTGAAATTTGAATGGTTTGTGTGTCAGATATGCCTTGGAAAAAAAAAGATATACATGGGCTTGGCACCTGACGACTTAGGTGCAGCATAACACATTGATGTTCTTACATCCTGAAGAAGAATAAGTAAATTTTACACCCTAAAGTGCAGTAGAACAAGAATCCACTATGAAATGAATGCAGTTTCCATCAGTCCATACATGCTCATGTGTATGTGATATTCTTAGACAATTCTGTTACATTACCTCTTGGTATCTAGTATGCCTTATTCTTATGCTTTTTTCCTCTTTTTTTTTTTTTTTCTGAAAAGTCCTTTCTCTTATGCTATTGTATTGTTCAACTACAACAAACTTAAAAGTTGCAGTCAACAGAAAATAAAGCTAATATTCTTAACCACAAATCTTGCAATGCGCCAATCACCAAACCTTTTCAGATATAAAGACAATAGAGCATCATTGAAAAAAGGAACAAAAGCAGCTAGCAAACTAGAGAATAAAATATATATATATATATATATAAAATATACAAAAAAAAATGTCCACCTAGTTTCAAGATCCTCCTTCCCTCTAAATCTTTTCATGACAGTAGATATGGCAGCATTAACACCAGTCATTAGAGCAAAATTCCGAGCTTGTATCAGGGGACCCCCACTTAGAGCCTGTCATCGATAAAACCCCTCAATCAATGAAGTAATGAACATTGTACAAAAGTCTCATGCATTCAAGCTAATGCATCAGCAAGAACGGAATCACACAATAAAGTGAGGAGCTTTCATCCTAATTCTGGGGCAGCAATACCAAGCACAACCACCTCAACATCAAAAAGGTACCATCTTTCCCTACCAGACTATAATTAAGTGAAAATTAAGGCCTTGTTTTCTGTTAGATTGCAAGAAAACATCAAAACATTCTCAGATTATACGCAAGAGAGACGCCATATAATTGAAAATCGTGAAATTCAAATGGGATTAAGTCAGACTGAGGATAAGAACTGATAAAGTAACAGAAAGGGCGACCTGAGCTTGCTTGAGAGAAACCATGGCTTGAGGGTCAAGGTTGGGAGGGGGAGGAGGAGGAGGAAGGGTGGCGAAGTCCTTGGAGAAGGTGCCCAACATGCCCCCAACGAGGGCGCCCTGGGCAGCGCTGCCGGCCGTGACAACCGCCGTCTCCACAGGCAATGACTGCTTGGCCAACCATGTCTTAAACCCCTTCTCCAACTCCTTGTATTTGACGCGCAACTGCTCAATAAGATTCTGCTGCGGTACAGATTTCACCATAACTACTCCCTGTGCTTTTCCTCCCTCCATTTTTAATTTTCTCAGCAGTCTGCTGTTTTGGTATCGTTACTTCCAAAACCCCTTCCGCTGTATTTACAGTGCCACTACTCTACGGTTCAACCCAAACATTGGATCCCAATTTTACCGCAATGGGAATGAGAATTTATGATTGGATTTTTCTGCAATAAATGTTATTTTTTATAATTAATTTTTATTAAAAAAATAAATATTGACTTTAATTTAATCAATTAATAATTAAAATTATTTATATATAAATAATATTAAAATATATATTAATTTTTATAATTTTTAATATAAATTAATTATAAAAATATATATTTATTATATTTTTAATTTATTTCTTATTAACTATCTAAGAAATTTAATGATAATTTTTTTCATTCAAAAAAAGAGATTCTGAATTTGAATAAAATGATATATGAGTAGAGAATAATAAAAGATAAGAGAATATTACCTCATATTATGCGATTAACATAAACAAAAAAACTTATAATTTAAATACAGGTTAGACAAAATCTTTTAAAATTTGAAGGTCAAGATATTTTAAAAGGTTAGGGTTTTTATTTTTTTAATTATTATATTTTTTTAGGGTTAAGAGATTTTTGAGTCAATATATATTTTTTTAATTTAGATGATTAGAATGCCTTCAAATTAATTTTCACCCACTGATATTAAAATGCACTCTAATATTAGTATATTTAAATAAATTAGCAATCTTATTTTAGGTATAATTAGCTACCTTCAAGCATAAAGTATGTCATATGACCACGTTATTCACGCTTAATGAATTTATTTTACCACATTTACATTTCTGTTTATTAAGTTGACCGAAAACACTCTAATCATAAACTAAAAAAGTGATGTAAACCTATTTAAGATTTTCGTGTGATTAGTAACATTATTTGAGAAAATTAGAGCCGGTGGCGTTAAGTGAGAATTGGGTGAAAATTAGCCACTTTAATTTATACTTCTACCTTAGTTAGTAAATAGTAATAATGGCACTAAAATTAAAGTCTTACTGTTTGGGTATGTGTTGAGAGGAGTAGAATGGAGAAGGGAAGGGAAGGGGTATTGTATTATTTTATTTATTTTTTTAATTTAGATAAGTAAATAAATTAAAAAAATTAAAGTAAAAAACTCTTTTCTTTTCCTGGCCCTTCCCCTCTCTTTTCTTCAATTTGTTTGATAATCAAATAGAAGAATTTTTCCTACTTCCCTCCCCTCTTATCTATTCTCTAAACTCAAACCTACTATTATTTTAAAGCATAAAAACCAAAATCATGCTCTCTTTTTTTTTTTTTAATTGACAATTTGTTTTTAAGATAGATACTTTGTAAATACTAGTAGCAATGTAGCATGCCCTTACTTTAGGGCCAAAATTGGCACATTCTTTTGAAAAAGTATTCTAAAAAAATTGGTAAATATTATATTAATGAAGTCTCATTTAGGATTGTTAAATTTTCATATTTGATGCAAATTTTTCCATTGAATATTATTGAGGTTTAAAAATACTAATACATATCCCTGAACTTTCTTAGATGAAGAGGAAAATTTTTCCCAATACCAAACACACCCTAGATTTGGCTCACTTTTCTCGTATCCCCCTCACGTTAAAAACTCTCTTGCATCGGATAAAAAAAAAAAAAGAAAAAGGAGAAAAGAAACGTAGTGCTTTTTTGGGTGGATCTCAATCTATTAATGGAGTGTAATTAGCCCAATATGAATCTATGTTCTATGGTTCCTTAACCCAACGTGGCAATGCCAGCTATTCCTCACTGAGTTGGTCCCAATGAAGCCCAATTAAAACAAGTTGATCCTTCCCAATAGTGTTATTAGCTCAATCTGTTAATAAGTTTCTTCAATTTATGTCTTGTTCTGCAATTCCTGGTTCTGAATTTTACGTTGCCAATTCTTCTATCATATATCAATGGAATTCTGTAATGTTAAACAACTAAATCTCTGATGTATTAAAAAAAAAAAAAAACAATCATGAAACAAAGAATTAATATGGTACTTGAATTGCTGTGCTTGTTACATTTCAGTTTCATTATTTAAATGGCTTATCATTGATTTCGGAAGATTTGTATAGCTTCATTATTTTCAAGATATCTTCACTATCTGTTTTTTTTTTTTTTTTTGGTACACTTGTGATAACCTTTTTCCCTAACTCTCTTTCCACCCATATTAAGCTTCGAAATTAAAATTTTAATTTAAAAGTTGAGACCCTTGTTAAATAGTTGAGAATTTGAAACACCCAATTAAGATTGATATATTCACTATATATCCTAGTTAGAGTATAAAACTAACCCTGCCATATCATTTTTGAGAGCTGACTTTTATTGAACAGCTACTATAGATTCTGTGGTATATTTTCTGTCCACATAAAATGTTTGAACAATGTTCTCTCCTTCATCCTCTATTACAATCGTCCTCCATTCAATCCCTTCTCTGGAACAGGCAGAAGGTACCAGTGATGTTTTGGTTTCAGGATCAATCGATTGCAGCAAGCCCTCAAAGCACTTGGCGTGCTTAAAAGAACAGATTGACGATAAGGAGAAGAATCATCACTGGAAAAGGTGAGAGAATGTTGGAGGAGGAAACCATCTCTGTCACCTTCTCAAGGCTGGTTTCAACTGGGGGTGAGGAAACCATCTCTGTAACCTTCTCAAGGCTGGTTTTAACTGGGGGTGCTGGCAACAAATCACCAGGTCTCTTTGTTCTGCATCAACAGATTATAAATCCTTTTACATTATCCTCTGTAGATCAAGATAGGATAGAGAACTCTTACCTGCCAGCATAAGGGCAGAAAACAATGTCATATTCATAAGCCTTGCATGTAAAAGTACTGCTTCCATCATCATAAGCATAGCTATAAGCTTTGGGACAAGCTCGCTTGAATAATTTCGAGTAAAACGATGGTCTGCACATTGTTGGATTAGCAAACTCCCCGCTGCAGCAGTACTGGTCAAGGCCAAACGCGTCACAGGCACTCTTGCATGCAACTACTTGCCCTTCTCTGCTGCCTTCTCCGCCCACCACCTGAAGCTCTTTTGGACAACCTGCATTTACATTTGATAAAATATTTTTTGAATGATAATCCCTATTTAGGCTGGGCAACAGAGGCTAACAAAGAGTCCTTACCCATGTTGAGGTCTGAAGCACAGCCGGTGGCATTACATGGGCTGTAGACTCCCCGGGGTGCAGCCACCAGAGGCAAATTGTAGCCGTCGACTATGCTGATATCGTAGTAGTCCTTTTCATTACCATTACCCATTGTAATTTCAAAGAGTGACACAGGCGGCGTGGCGCCCTTACCGTCACATTCCAGCCTTCCCCCACAATCCCCTGTCTGACAGGTGCCGACTCCATACTCATCAAATGAACAACCAGTCCTCGCCCAAATCCGACCTGACCATCCTGGAACAGCCGGGATTTTCACACTCTTACCAGAGTCCAGCCTGAATCCTGTCATGGGAAGCTGTGGCATCCCTGACCCAGCAAGTGTTCCAGGCCATATTGCATATGGGCAGTTGTTCATAATGGTAAAACTGAATGAATAAGAATGGCAAAATAACAATGGAAGAAAGACAAGGACGACCCCAGAGAACATCCAGGATGCCATTTCCCGTGATAATTCTCAGAGTAGAACAGGGAAGGAGGTCCTCTAGGGTGTCCATGGCACCCCTAGATATCGTAGGCCAAAGATTCTGAGGGTGGGAATTGTTGCTGCGGCTACGTTACTTTGCGGGGCCTGCTATGCTGGCCGGAAGGTCACCTTTCTGGGTTTTGGATTTCTTTAATTGGAGACGGCCTCAAGGAGAAGCAATTCCTTGCTTTCAGACATGACACAGAGACACGTTTTATATATTATATATGGGTATATAAATGGATTATTATTATTATTATTATTATTTATTGAGGGAACTGAATGCAATTACTTAAATTGATTTCTTCCAATCAGGAACAGCCATTTCCTTATGAAATGAAAACAGGTATTTTTATATGATTTGAATGCAAAAGACACAGAAAAATATTGACCATGTAACCTTGTATGTAAAAGAAAAACCTTTTTCAAATCCCACTCCATGTCAAAGGTTTGAACTTAAAACGTTTATCATGGTCTCAAGCTCTGATTAGTTAAGCCGCCTGCTTAAAAGGGTCTGACTTGTTTGCTAAACGACATACTTGAGCTTGTTCCCTACGCAAGTTGAGCTCGACTCTTCCATGCTCCATGAAACTTGAGCTCCATAAGTACAAGTTGAACATGAGCTCATATACTCTGTATACTCTAGTGGTCAGACTTGTTTACAGCTCCACTCCTACGGCATGATCATTTTAAAACGCCATACTTGCTATAACGAGACTTTGGTCTAAGGAATGTCATAATTTCGATGATTTCCTAAGACTTACCATCTCTGCTAAATAAAATTTCAGCCAGGAATTGAAATCAATTCAGCCTTCAACCCATTGCTCCATCAGATACATACACCAAAAGGAGGTATTATTAAGAAAAAGAAAGTGAATATACTCATAACAAAGTAAATCCTTATTCACATCAAATTTATAGTTGTCACTGGTGCTAGGAATTAGAAGCAACTTGACGTATAGCCAGAAAAAATTGAACAGAAAAGACAGTCTAATTACCTAACAGCAAAACAGGGGATTAGGCACATTTGGGATTCTAAAGGAAGATGATTCCAAACATGAGGAAACTCAACAGCTAGTACCATGGCTGCTGCAGAATGCAATTACAAGAAGATTGGATGTTACCGTATGTGACAGCCAGCATAGCAAAGCTTGAGGTTTCAAGTCACTACAACTCAGTAGCAAGTAGCAGCTTCATTGTTCTTTATTTCACCTGCTAAATACTCAGCTACTTCTCAAGCTGAAACTCAGTATCAAAACCTCTTAGTTGTTGAATGTGTTTTGTTAGTCCACAATCTGTAGCTGTAGCCAGCTATGAAGATTCTGAAAAGTGCCTCAAAATTTGAGAGAAGTAAGCTTTTCCTTTTGTCAGGCTGAGAAAAAGAACAATGCTCTGAGTGATTAACCTGGTATAATTGCATTGAAGATAGAAATACATTGTTAGTTTCTTCATTCATGGCATTATAAGGTTAACTATGAAGGTAAAGACGATAACTACTAGATTGTGGGGAATCCAAAAGACGCACCAACACATTTGCCCAACAGAATACTTGCTTTAAACCTAGCATAAACTGGTAAACCAGGACTCAAAACTTTCATCTACCCTGAGAAATGCCACAGTATTAAACCATCCCAGATCACAGGTTAGCATTCATGTTATGTGCAGCATTCCTTCCAGGTTAAGAACTTCATTACACAACTTCTACAGAGTAGCATTCTTCCCTTGAGTAGCATTCCTGTGGACACACCAAGTAGAGGATGCTTTGGATTTCTTCTCTGAACTATAGCTGCATGAAGAAAGAGGTCACAGATTAGCAAAGAGTGTGGCATCCCTTCCATGTGACAAATTTCAATGACACAACTTCTACATGGAGAATGACACTTGCCAACATATCTTCCACAGTGCAATAGGTCAGTGACAATACAAAATTTGACCTGATCAAAGAAATACAACGTTCGACTAATCAAGTTTGACCCACCTGCTTTCTAAGAGGCATTCCCTCCCAGGAGCTGGGCTGCTAAAAGAATGCAGCAAGCATTGCATTATACTCTGCTCCTTAGCATTATCAGTTGCAATATTGTTCTCCATCGCAAACAATGACCAAGTACCTACATCACAAGGATAGACACATAATCAGAAACTGCTTAACATTTAACGAAGCCTGAAAACAGAAAATATCATTCAATTTTCAATCATCATAATCAAACTCTCCTGAATTGCACACTTTCAACCCCTGCAAAATCAACATAAGCTTCAGGAACCCATATGACAAACCAAGAACAAGTGAAAACTAAACAGAATAAACAAAAGGACATGTGACACTGACTGGCAATGTAATCCTCTTCAACCTGCATAAACTGGTAAAACCAATACATCAAGTCAAAGAATTAGACTAAACTTAATAACTGAGGAATAGTGTAGATCGCTGACAGGTTATGGCAAGCCACCATTAAAATATGATTATTACATGAAGAGGTACAATTACAAAACTGAATCTCAATTATCATTACAATTCCAAATAAGCATAATATGATAAATGAACAAGCGTAGAAATCCCATAGCACAATTGCATCCAAACAATATACAAATTCAATACTATAAATGAAAAAAACATAGGATTAACAAAAAAAAATTGCATACGTAAAATATACAAACTTAAATCATAGTTAAGGCAGAAAAGTCATGCAATTATAAGTTGATATCCTAAGTATAAGGGTTTGAAAGATGAAAATTCAAGCTCATCAAAGCTATAAGAAGAGATGTAACTCAATTGGCATATTAGGAAAGATAATAACTGTTAAGTGTTCATACGGGTAGGAGAACGCAATAGCCCCACCACCAGAGTACCAACATCAAGTCTATTATCCATTATCCATTTGTCCCATAAGAAAGAAATGCAAAAAGATTCAAAGGAAATGATAATGAGAAACAAGATAGTCTTTCGGCCATGTGACAGATAACTAGCTCATATCCATGCCATCTCCAACTTGGCTACAGATTGGACCAACAGTGGAGAAGGATCTCTCAAATGGAGAAGGATGAAACTGTGAGTCACGTCTGCGCTTAAAAGAGCAGCTATCAGACGGAGAATTCTCGGCATCAAGCTTCCTTCTGACTCCTCGGACTGCCTGTTCCTCAGTTGGTGAAAGGGGAAAAACTTTGCCACTTGCTCGGCACATAGAACTATGGTTATCATACAAAATTCTCTGGTTACAGTTCTTGTCACAGATGTGAGTGATTCCAGTTAGTTTACAGCGATACATGTTTCCACAAACATGCTCATTTTCACATTTCCAATCACAGTTGTGAACAGGAATAGGCCCATCACGGCCAAGAATAGTAGATAAATAAATAACATTTGCAGGGGCAGGGGCTGCACCCATGTTTGTCCCGCATACCTCCATAGCTTCAGCAAGTAACAAACTTTATGAAAATCAAAGCTTGGAGGCCCTAACCCTCAAACGTTCTGCATCCCAACAGAATACACAAACGGTCAAATTAGGTAGACCAAGGGCCATTATATTTTCCTATTGTTGACTTTTAAAGCAGCACGTGGGTCACAGTAGAACGACAAATTTAACATACAAAATTGGAAGGGTTTCCATTTTTTTTTCTTTGCCCTCAAAAGAGGGTTCATATTCACAAATATCTAATTGACCCCATAAAAGCATCCATTGAAGCTACAATTTTTTGACATAATACTTGCTATATATAGTGAGGGATGACCGATATACCACTAAATGGAGCAGATCTAAGAAAGAACAATTCGAGAAACCCAAATAGCAACAAATATCAGGACCCAAAAGTCTCAAAAGAAAGAAAAACACAGTCATATTGAAGAAACGTGCCAAACAGGGCATAAAAATGTAAACTAGCAGAAAACCCATGTGAAAAAAGGCAGGAGAAAAGCTAACCTGAAGCCGGAAGAGCAAGAAAACCAAAGAGAACCCAGAGAAGCACCAAACTCTCTCTCTACAGAAGCAGAAGAAGGACCAACAAAGAAATGAAGATGGTGGGGATAAAAGGAAAGTGGGAGAGGGGTATTTATAGAGAAAAGTGGCCAAGTGGGGATCAAGGACGTTGGGAATGCATAGGGAAAAGAGACAAAGGACACATGGAAAATGAAACGAAATGAAATGCAAATGTAAATGCGAAACGCAATGGCGTAATTGCAGGGTAATTTCGTAGGGTTTAAATACCAATTTTGCCACTCCACTTTTTATATTGCTATCAAAATTGTCCTTTAACTTCAAAAAGTACCAAAAATATCTTTAAATTTTTATTTTTGGTACAATTTCATCCTTCCGTTGACGGAAGTGGCAGGTGGAACGTTAGATTGCCGCACAATCAATTTTCTATTTTTTTTAACTAATGACGTGGAAAACTACAAGACTTTTTGGATGATTTGGCACTTTTAACCTTTTCCACATCAGTATAAGAAAAAAAAGAAAAAGAAAAAGAAAATGATCATCTTCTTCCTGTATCCGAAGGCTTCGTTCTCACTGAAATCTATTTGAAAACAGCTTGAAAATCTAAAACTCTTCTGGATTCGTCTCTCCTTTTCCTCTCCACCCCTGGTTCTCTCAAAATCAATCTCCGTACCTTTTGTTTCATCTGCTTCCATGGTCGATTTCAGACTATACAGATCATTTCCGTTCGAGTGAAGCTGCAAAATAGTTGATCTCTAGCCCCGGATCCCCGCGATTCAAGGCGGTTCAGTTGCCGGCGCTCAGATTTGTTTCTTGTTGATCTCCAGCTGTTTGTTCTCGATTCCGGTCACATTCAGTCCAGATCTGATGTTACCTGCTCGAGAACAACGCTCTGGTCATTTCTACTCGACCTCTGCAACTCCGATCTCCCTTTCTCCTGCGGTAACCATTCTGAAAAC